TGTTCCAGGATCGCAAGCCAGGGAACATGGCAGTAGCAGAGCAGGCCCAGATGCTGGCCATGGGGGGGGGCAGCCACATTGCCCCTTGCAAGAATCCTCTCCACGGCGCTTCTGTTGGAATCCCCGGATGGAGCGTGGCCTTCCCGCTCAGCTTCCGCACAGCTGGACAGGAAGAAAAGCCCTTTTGTGCCTTTTTTCTGCATGCAGTTAATTAAACAGATGCTGGCTGAGAGGCTGCGGCCCTATTAATTGGATAAATCAGCCTGTCTGACATGCAGGAAATTTCCAAGAAATGCCACCCTCTGATGTGATGCTCCCTCATAAGGCTCCCGAAACATGACCCGGAGAGAAAAATGTGGAGCATCAGTAGGATTGCTCCTTATTTCATTAAATGTTTTCTGCTAGCTCTACCCACTCTTTCTTCTCAACTTCCATTTGTGCTGAGGGATATTCTGCGCTGGTGTCGATGTGTTTCATCCACCCTCGTCGAAATGAACTGGCAGGCTGCACCCCCGCCAGCAGCAAGAAGAGCCTCCTCCAATCCCTCAGGGGGCTGAACAGGAGCCTTCCTGCTCCCTGGCTGGTTTTTGTAAGAGGCACAGGCCTCTCAGTATGTTTGGGGCTGGTGGGTGCAACAGGCCACCCTAGGCATTGGTGTCCCAGGAAGACGCCTGCCGTTGCTTCCGAGAAGCAGGAGAGGCGGTGTGGGAGCAGTGCATGTCAGGAAGGGACCTGCCTGCCCAGAGGTCTTTCCCAGCCACCAGACCAGTCAGGAGAGGATAGGGAGAAATGCATTGACTGAGGCCTCACAAAATCATGGTGTGTTTATGATGGGAAATTTTAACTACCCAGACATCCGTTGGAAGACAAGGTATCAGATAAATTTTTGACTCGCGTTGGGGATTTCAAACAGTGAAGAGGCATGAGGGTATCTGCTGTGTTGGATCTGGTCTTTGCTAAGGGAGGAGTTGAATAAAGTAGTGGGAACTTTGTGCATTGTTAGGATTATTGATTTTAACCAAAAGTTTGGTAAAAAAAAGAAGTCAAAACAGTCAAACATAAATCATAGATGTTAGAAAGGCCAATTTTAATCAACAAAGAAAAACTGTAAGGAAGATGACATAAAAAAACCTTTAAGGGCAAAGCTGATTATTGATCAGGCCCTTAGAAAGATGTTGAAGTAAATAATAAAGACTACAAGCTGGGAGAAAATGAGTTCTGGGTCAAGTTGCTGATCCTGGGGGCAAGGCCTTTATGGTGGTGTACCCCTTACTCCTTTTTACATGAGCTGCCCTAAAAATTCTGCCTGTCCCCCTCCTCCTCTGGACTTCAAGCAGTCTCAAACATTTGTTACTGTGTTATTCTCCTTCCACCTTCTTTATTCTGTTGATTTCACATTTTAACCTGAAGCTTTTCATAGATATGTTCCTTTGTTTTTAATGTAATTTAAAAGGAAGCCTTGATGAAAAAGAAACCCCGTTCCTGTTGGCCGTACCGCTCTACAGCTGCAGGTTTCAAAGTTACAATGAGCACATGATTCCAGAGGAACAGATTTCTGTCACCCATTAAAAGAAATAACGCTTCCATGTTTCCACAAGATGTAAGGGTTGGAAGATACTGTGGGGATTATCTTGTCCAGAGCAGGATCCCACTGCTATGGCACTCCAGACTGCCAGTACAGAAAAACCATGGTTATGTGGCTGAGCACATGCTTTGAATGAAAGAAAAACCTGGGTTGAACATACCCTGAGGCAGCGATAGGCAACCTGCAGCCCTCAGCCTCTTTCTATAGATCTCAGAACTTCCCAACATCTGTCTTCTGAAATTTGGCAACACAATTTCCTTTCTTTTCTCTCTCTCTCTCTCTTTGAAATAGCAAGCAATACCAATGCTATATGACTGGCTTGTTTAACATGCTCCAAACCCCCCAAAGTGAAAGAAAGCCCTGAAAAGGAAGGCACCCCCCCCCCCTTTGGTTGCCTCACTTCATTAGTGCTGTGTCACTGTGGCCCAAAGTGATTCTGCTCTTGGAGCTGATGGTCCCGGCAAGCTGGGGGCTCTTAAGTACCCCAGAGGGATCTTGCGCCAGAGGAGACCTTGATAGTTCCCAAAGGGTGATGGTCTGTGGAGATTTGCCCCGGTCCCAGAATGTAGCAAGCAGAGGAAGCCCTGAAAAGGTGCTGGGTTTCTCTTCTCAGCCTGCAGCCGTGGGAGCCCAGAAGCACAGGACAGGCTGCCCTAGAGTTGGCTGGTGGAGGAAATGAGATCCAAAATGGGAGGAAGGGCAGGTTCCCGGACAGTTGGGTGCCAGGTAGTTTTATGGCGCCCTATGATCACTAGAACTCATTATTCCACTTGGCAATGTGTGGGTGTTAACTCTTCTTGCATTTCACTTGCTGTAAAGGTCAAAAAATGAGTTTTGCTGTTCATTCTTGCTCAAGCAATGCCATTAATAAATGCTTTGCTTTTAGCCTGCAGTGTGGAAATCCAGAGAGCTTTTCCATGACATGTTTCCTGCCTCTTCCCAATACTCTTCCTCTCTCAACCTTTCTATAAATCTCAACTCTTTAGAAACTCCCCCACCCACCCCCAATTCAGTAACAGCTTCACAGATTCAATCCTGGATAAGTTGCTCCATTGCAGACAGAAAGAAATGATATACATACAGACAATCTCCCTAGTGCAGAAGAAAGGATTTGATATAGGTTTAAATTTTAGGCTTTTCTCTTCTGTTCTTTGGAGACAATGGGTTTTGGGTCATCCTTTTTCTTGCCTTGAGAGTCTGAGCCATCTGCTCCAGGTTGGCATAACAGTTCTGTCTGGCCTGAGAATCACATCAGCTTCAGCCTTTACACCGTCATAGAAAGGGGCAGATGGGAAGGGCCACGGCATGCCACACAGTCTGCTTGAGGAGCCCAGTAATGTGGTGTTTGCAGCTCTGGCCCTGACTGCATCTCAGACCAAAAGAGCAAGAGGCTGGAGAGTGGTAGAAAAATATAACTTCCCTTTAGTGGCTGTTTGGACTGAAGGATGCCTACTTCAAGCCCTCCTCTGCTGCTGGAGGGCCATAGGAATTGGAAGTTCTACCTCAGCTAGTCCCTCTCTCTTCATCAATATGATACCCCACCCTTAGGAGAAGCTGTGGGCTTGGCCACCAGAAAAATCTGAGTAAGCTGGAACCAGGATTCCTTGAAGGGCAAACAAGAAAATCTGGCTGCTTTGCTGGGGGGGGGGGGGGGGGG